AATCTCCGCGGATGGACCATCTTGCAAGTGCATGGCTTTGTCGTAGAATAGGCGAACCATGCTATCTGGGACGATAACACTGTCGGCGGAATTAATGAGATGACATATAAGCCATGTACATTGCTTGAAATAATTGGTAGATGCGTTATGCAGAGCAAGGTGTAGCGTGCTAAGCGCCAGTTCAGTGAGTGCGATATCAGTAGAAACCCGAGTCCGGATTGCAGTGACCACGATGTCGAGTGCACGATGATACCAGCCCCAGTGGAGACAGGCTCTGACCAATGTCGACCTGACCACAAAGGCAAAATTGTTGTCCTTTGCAGACGTATGATACACTTCTGTGAAGGCTTCTGCTGGGATATGGCAAGTCTCGGTGAGAGTCTGGAAGAGGCGAAGCGCATGTCTGTCTCGGTCGAATATGATCAACTTATGAACCAGGCCGAAAGCTATGAAAACATCACCCGGAGGGCGATAGGACATAGACTTCGCACCTTTGGGCGCGGATTGGTTTGTAAGAGATTGATGGAAGATAGGGAGGAGGATATCCACGGCCTTTACATCGTACGGATCTATGCCGGGGTTGTCGACAACACACTTGACTAATGCGGAAATAGTCACGGAACTTAATTCAGAAAGCGCGTGGAATTGATAAAGGAGATTGAGGAGGGAGTAAATTTTCTGCTTGTTAAGAATGGGCGGATTGTGGTATGTCGCTGACAGCAACGCCGTAGCGACTCGGAGCTGGCGGTTTGAGGTGGTGATAATCCCGTCCAGTAAGTCTGTAGCAATACCATCCACGATAGTCGATAGTCCATGCTTTGTGGCCTTCTCAGAGAGAGCGACAAGAATGGGGAGCGGTAAAGACGCGGCCAGCGTTTTATCTTGTACTCGCAGTTCCGCGTAGGCCGCAAAAGGGTCGGGTAGAGCTTCCACCATTTTCTCCACTTTTGCAGATCTCTTCTGCACCTGTGGAGGTAACCATGTTGAAATGCACGCAACTCTTTCCAACAGCTCTTTCTCAACACGGGAAGTACGGTGAAGCATAGGCGCCAAGTCCACAGCCTCCGGCAAGGCATTATGCACAGTGTCATTGGCAAGTCTCGAGTGAGATACAGCTTTGCCACGGATCTGGCTGCCAATTAATTGTTGCGCGTAAACACGGATCGGGGTGTGTACTCGAGGAAGTAAACGGCGACAAAGTAACATAAGTTAGCTGTCTCAGATGAATATCAGCTCAGGCCACAATAAATTACAAAACAAGCGGACTGGCTCACCGCATGCCGCATAGAGTCAGTCGACGAAATAGTATCGACACCCCGAATGAACGCGACTCGCGCTTTGGAGAAGAAAATTTGGTGTAGGGTTCAAGGAGGGTTAAAAGCAAATAATGACAAACAATGCATTTAGTACTACTGTCTCGAACACCGTTGCAATCGATGTAGTAAGACTTAAAGTTTCTCTGTGGACTCTATGGGAGCAGGACAATCATCGACATCTGCAGCACAGGCACAAAAATCCCATGCCTTGCATGTCTTACGAGTCACTGCTTCATCACCAGCCTCGCAGACGTCTATAGAGCCATTCTTCGACTTCATCGTTGGCTTCGATGGCAGTGACGCTTTCTACGCTGAGAGCGACATAGACGCTACAGAGCTCGAAAGAATAGTAGAAGAACACGAGGAGAAGACGCTTAATCTTTTAGTCTGGAATAGTAAAACGCGCACAACTCGAGGTGTGTCTAGTCTCAAAAACGATATGCTTATGGCGTTAGTAATGTGATTAAACTTAGTTGTACCAATTGTTCCCTCGCGGGCTTGGGCTTTGGCGCAACAAGCATCGATCCCACAGGATGACGTTGAGAACTCTCCCCAGCCTTCCTTGTTGGGTTTGAGCATGCGGATGTGCGAATTCGAGAATGCGACGAACAATGTTTGGCACGTTCTTGAAGTCCTAGAAGGAAGTCCAGCAGAAAGTGCCGGTCTTGTCCCATACGGTGACTGGATAATAGGATGGTCCGGCGGCATATTGACCGCGGAGAACGATTTTTACGATGTCGTGGAAGCTGTATGACATTCTCTGGGTTTTGTACTATTTTGGGCCGCTAAACATTTTGTGTTCACAGCATGTTGACAAGCCGTTGCGAGTTTATGTCTATTCATATGACTTCGAGTACGTTCTGGTGCTGTAGATTGTGTCTTGCATTTCTCTGACCTGCCACTTCTCAGTAATCTCAGAGAGGTTGTACTAGTGCCCAATCGCCATTGGGGTGGCGAAGGACTGTTGGGATGTGTTTTTGGGTTTGTTTATATATATATAATTCAAAGAGATCACTAGACTGACTATTTTTGATAGTTTTGGACTTCTCCACCGCATTCCGTCGCAGACGGCGGACGGCCTATCAAGCGCTGGGGCCCAGAATTCTCATAGCGACCTTGAGGATCAGCAGGTCTTTGTTCCTGCCGATGTTTCACAAGGTTCGCGATCTTTCGAGTTAGGGGATCGGAGACATCCTTCTTTTGGAGTTCACCAGCGCCCAAGTGACATTGCACATCCTCGTCCCACCCGCTACAACGAAACTACGCAAGGGCGACGATCCGCTGGCGACGTGCTCCGGCGTGACTCAGCATCAACTGCTTCACGTCCTGGGACACCCAGACGGTCAACAAACACGCCAAATCCCGTATCACAGACACCGAGCTCCAGCCGTTCATTTGGCTCCCTCCTCAATGGTGATTCGTCACCCCGCTCATAGTTTCGTTCTCACTCAAGGATCTACGCACATCAAGGTACTGGAGTAACAGCAATGTTTTCTGGCCCGAACCCAAGAGCCCTCCAGTTCAGTACTAGCATGTCTACGGTAACCGGAAAGTCACAAGATGATGACGAAGATGAGGGAGACAGTGATCACGATGAAACGGTCAGCGTATCTGGAACGGAAGCCACGGATTATGGTAGTCTGACCTCTGTTGAATGATGACCGAATGGCACATAATCGAATACATCTGACTATTTAGAGCCACGTTACTATAACCAGGTGTACTACACTAGTACACCGAGCTCTAGGATTTCGCTCACATCTATCACTCATTGAACGTTGTACGAGCCTCTTCCGCAAACACACAACGTTTACTGGATCTGGACAGGGTCATGGACTCTTTCGCATGTAATCATCATTTATCTCGGGCCACCTCTTCATCGTAATGCTCTCTCTATCCTTCGCAGCTACTCTACGGGCTATTTCTCATCTCTTGTTCGCAATGTAACACTCCTGCTTATCTGATATCAATGTTCAGCTTTTATGTGTGTGGGGTTTGGGGTTCAAAGGAACCCTTCCCTGGTTGTGAGCTTCACTCTGAGGTGGTCTGGGTTCATGTCTTCTTCGGACCCCTCGGTCTGCGCACGTCTCAGACAGATCACGCTCCAAAGGTCTGTTTTTCTCGATCCTCAAAACTCTTCGATTCGAATCTCTCTGCTTCAGCTGTTCTCGGATCACGTGATCAGCCCCCTCTTGCGCTGGTCAGGCAAAATCAGACCTTCCCACACAAAAATGAATCAACAACTATCCTTGATTCGTTCATAAGCTTCTCCTCTCTCGCATAGTCCTTTGTTCCCCTCTCTCATAGTCATCTCACAGACTACCTAACATCAGCATCAATATTAGTTCCTCTGACAAAACACTAATATTATCTCTCTCATTTTTAGGGCTGGTCACCGTAGGCCGTACAACGGGATTATACGGGACCATAGTATGGTTACCGTACCCATACTGTCGGTGGTTCCAGGTCACATTTGATGGTTATGGGGTATGGTCATTTGAGTACCATATATCACTGTATGTGTACGGCCGTATATAACCATCATACGGTACATACGGTTCTGTGAATATTAGTATAGTGTAATGCCCAATGTGTTTGAGTCATGTTACTTGTGGCAGCCATGTGTCTTTTTTGATATCGACAGCGACAACGACCTACTACTAGTGGCAACACTGACACTATTTGCAGTGCTTATTCCTGAACTTCCAACATCCAGCTTCCTCACTAGTGGCTGTGACTTTGACAGCATACAGATCATCAACCTACCTGTATGTTTCTCTCACACTGATCTATAATATATCAAGTTCTAATGTTTTTTGTGTCCAGAATACTCTGTTGATTCTTGTGCCTGATCCGGGGGGAATGACCACTATGCTGATCGAAATATGCACAAGGTTCTGCTCCCTTCCCCTACGTGCACTTGCCTGCTCCAACCTTTGGAAAATACAACTTCGATTGATGGCCTCCTCGAGCACCCTGAATGCTGAACCTGCTGCTGTCGACCCAGGTTTTCAGGAGGTTCTTGGTCGTGGCAAACGTCCCAAAAATACCGAGCGGATGAATGCACTTATCCAGGCCGAAGGTGAAGATATTGACAATCCCACTTGCTGCCCTCGCCGTTCTTGTCGTGCCCCCAAAAAGCAAAATGCTGCTGTCGACCCCAACAATTTTTTCTCATCTCTTCCAGTTGAGGAGGCCTCGGATGCCGATGATGATGATTTCACTGGCTCTGAGTCCAGTTCTCAGTCTCCCTCATCAGGGTCAGAGAGCAATACCACCAAGATCTTGAATGCTGAGGTAAGTCATTTTTGATTGCTCAGTATTGTTACTGACTATGTTCTGCAGCTTGCAGATGTTTTGCCCATGAAGACTGTCCCACCTCGTGGTGGCAACTCTGATCCCAATGCACGTCAGCTTCACAAGAAAGCCAACACAAAATCCAAGCGGAAGGCTGCAGCAAATGCTTCAGCTGCCAACAGACTTCAACTATTGAAGCGAGCTCGTGTCAAGGATGCCGAAGATGACGGCGACATTCTCTTGCCATCATCAAGTCAAGTCCCTCAAGTTGATGTTCAGCTGAAGCGTCCAAAGGTAACCTTTCAATATTATCATTATTTGTAACAATCCTAAGCCTGTAATTTCCAGCCGCATGGACCCACAAACCCGATCTACCTCTTTTATGAAGAGGTGGATAAGAATGCTCAGGGCGTCGAGGGAACTAAGGGTGACAAACACTACAAGTGTTACCATAGTCAGCGCAAAATTCTGACTATTACAAAGGCTATGTGAAGTAGTCTCAATGGTAAGCATCACATTTAACTTCGTGGCGGCTTCTGACTTGATTGATTGATGAATGGCAGGTTTAATCGGTCACATCAAACACACTTTCCAGTCTTGTATCGACTCTATCTATATCTCAAGGATCATGGGGAACCACCCATGGAAGACGAGGTTGCGATGGCATTGGGAAAAAAGATTCTTGACCCCACCCAGGCAGCTGAATACCTGCTTCAGCTTGAAAAAGCCTTGAGCAATATTGTCAAGGCTTTTAACCACCAGAATCAGCGAGTCGCTGTAGGTCTATCTATACATTTTATCTATGTAGTCTCATGTTTTCAATTCAGGAAGCCAACTGGGATCAGAATATGTTTGAGCAGCTTCTCGCTGAATGGATGGTCGCATGTGACCAGCCGTTTGAAGAAGTTGACAGGCTCGAGTTTCATCGCCTTCTCGAGTATACTCACTTACAACAATCGCTTCACATCCCTCATTGTCAAGCTATGAAGCGGCATGTAATGAAGATGGGCGAGGACACAGTTGCAGACAGTGAAAAAAATGATTGTGGAATTGAACTGCAATGTTAGCTTGTCGCTTGATGGCTGGACGTCTAGCAATCTTTACGGATTTTTGGCTATTGTGATGCACTACATCACAAATAATTGGCAGCTCGGTGAGTGCCTTGAAAGAAATTGTAGGGTTGCACTGACCATCATGCAGAGGAACTCCTCATCGACTTTTGTGAGCTCATTGGTGAGCATTCCGGCGAAAATATGGCACAAGCAGTGTTCGAAACTCTGGAGCTCTTCGGGCTGAAGGGTCAGGTGCTTGCGATAATGGCCGACAATGCATCAAACAATGACACGATGTGCGAGGCACTGCAAGCATTGTGTGCGAGGGAAGGCATCATATTTAATGCTCGATGGGGACGATTATGGTGCTTGCCTCACACAACACATCTTGCAGCTTTATCGGTATGATGTTCTTAGATTTTTGAATGCATATCTCACTTTCGGCTCAAGTTATTGGAAGGCATCGGTACTATCAAGGCCAACAAGACAAACACCAATCATGATGCTTACCAGGACTGTGTAACAGCTCCGCTTAGTCGAGAGCATGACAATGATGTTGCTGCACAAGAAGATCAGCCAGAAGATGAAGAGGAGTCCAAGCTTCGTGCAGTTCATTCAGCTGTCGAAAAGGTAAGTTCTGGTTTATCACTGCCGGTGGAGTCAACACACTAACACACTTATCTTCCAGTTGCGGAAGATAGTTCGCGCTGTTCAGTTCAAGCCCTCAGCGTCGCCAAGCTTGGCTCCGAGAGGTCAACACGTCGATGGTGTTGCAGGTCAACACATTGCCACAGACAGCTCTCATGCTGATTCTTGATGTTAAGACCAGGTGGTCTTCAACCCATCAAATGCTCCATGCGCAGTTTTAGTCTTGTATTAATACTCCAACTTACTCCCCGAAAGGTCGCGCGCTTGATTATTGCAAAGTCATTGACGACTTTGTTGCAAAAACACGGGAACTTCACCAGTATGAGTTGTCAGCCGAGGATTGGAGGGCGATCAAACTAGTCTCACATTGGCTGAAAGCTTTCTGTGCGGCAATGACACAAATGTCAACAACGAAGCATTCAATGCTGTCATCTACCCAGGCCATTTTCTGTGGATTGCAAGAGTCGCTGCAAGAATCTCTGCGCGAGTTGCCCAATAACACACCACCTTCACCTCAAAGACTCGCTCATCAAAGCACATTGGAAATTGAGTGATTATTATACAAAGTTTGATGAATCACCATTATACATATGGTCTTCTCGTAAGTATTCTCTTGTATCTACAGTGTTCTGTCTACTTATTCCTTGACACTGGATAGTCCTTGACCCCCAAATTTCATTTGAAGATCTTTCTGCTGACTGCGGCGACGACCACATGCTACAAAGCCACTTGGAACATGCAAAGGATCAGTTGTGTCAGTATTATCGAGACAACTACCTTTCGTCGCAAGCTTCAAGTTCCCTTGTCGCTCCTCAACCTGCAGCGGCAGACTCGGAAACCTTATCTGGATCACCCCAGAAGGTCAATTTCACAGCTCGGTACAAAAAACGCCCAATGAACTCAAGGGATGAGCTCGAGGAGTACTATAGGGTGCCTGTTGAGGATTTTGATGCTTGTGACCCTATCCAATGGTGGGCAGGCCGCCATTCACAATTTCCGAACCTCTCGCGTCTGACTCGCAATATCCTCGCTATTCCTGGTGAGTTTAACCTGCTCAAAACCATTGTCTAGTATAGGTATGCTAATTTTGCATACTGTAGGCTCTGCCATCACTGTTGAGCGCATTTTTTCAGGCGGTCGCGATACTATTTCCCTTCGACGTGCTAGTCTCCAACCCAACATGATTAGAACACTAATGTTGGTCAAACAGCAGCTGCGCCTGGCTCGTAATGCCATCACGGTGATTGATTGAATGATACTAGTACCAGCTGATACTCGTTTGTACTACATACTAGCTACTGTACTAGTAATTCGATGTTTTTCGTCTCCCGTATGACCGTATTGACTGACCGTATGACCGTATTGACTGACCGTATGACCGTATTGACTGACCGTATGACCGTATTGACTGACCGTATGACCGTATAGTTACCCGCACTGTACTGTCGACAATATCGAGTACACCGTATGGCATACAGGACAATACAGGCAGTACCCATATGGCTACTGTACAATTGTACGGCCGTAACCATATATGGTTACGGTGACCAGCCCTACTCATTTTCACCTTAATCATGCAATCATACAAAGGCTAAGTTAAGTTTAGGGTCTTTGTAGCCAGCAGTCTTCTTTGGTGGTCTAAGAATCCTCTCGAAGTTGTCAAAGGCTAGGTATACCTTCTCAATAGTGGGTGAGGGCTTGTAAAGCCCTGTTACAATATTTATTCTACTTGGATGCTTAGGCTCAGACTTGAAAGGATTTTCTCTGAGTCTTAGTGAATTTGTCATAGATGCAAAGGAATTATTCTCACAAAGTGGAGAGCACCCTGTTTTGAGATTACAATAGATATGATATTATTCGATTCACAAGTAAGAATGAAAATATAGCTTAGAGACACACGACAGTGGGCGCTAAGATTGCTTAATCATTCAGAAATATCTGCACAGGTTATATATACTTAGTATTACTGCCGGGTTATGTAATCTCCGATATGGCTGATGTGTTCTAGGTTTGTTCAACCTCAACACTCCCCCTCAAACCTAGGACATCCCAAGTCCACGTATATATTGGTGATGTGTAGGTTTGGGTAGCACTTTTGTGAAGATGTCTGCCATCATTTGTGTGGTAGGACAATATTTTAGCTTTATTAGACCATTTTTGACTTTATTTTGGATATAGTAATATTTTAAATCAAAGTGCTTCATTCTCTTGTGATACTGTGGGTTTTGTGCAATTGCCAATGAGCTAGAGTTAGGCAATGTCATGGGTATCTGGCACCCACTGTGGGTCATGGGTGTGGGTACCCAGGGATATGGGTAGGGGTAGGCACTTAGGATACCCACACCCCTACCCACACCCACACAGTGGGTATGTAGGCAAAAAAATCATCTTTGCACTGTGATATGTGATTCAACTTTGTCAAACATGCTAGTAGTGGTCTCAGTGAATGGTATGGAATAAACCCACACCCACCAGTGTGGGTGTGGGTTTTTGGTGGGTGTGGGTGGGGGTATCACCACAGATACCCATGGGTATACCCACATCATTCCCTAGCTAGAGTTGTCTTCATATAACAAGGTAGGTTCTTTTTGCTTGTATCCTAACTCCAAGTATAGATTGTGGAGCCATACTGCTTCTCTCGCTGCGTCCGAGAGGCAGATACATTCAGCTTCCATCATTGACAAGGAGATGGCATTTTGCTTTTTTGATCCCCATGTTATCGCCCCTCCATTCAATAAGAAGGTATACCCTGAGATGGAGGTATGATCATCATTATTTACGAAGCTCGCATCTGAATATCCAACAAATCGGTTTTCGGTCTTTCCCAAGGGTTTAGTTGTTTTATAGGTTATTCCTATATCTTTGGTACCCTTGAGGTACCATAAAACTCATTTCACAGCAGTCCAGTGAGTTATTCCAGGATTTGCTGTGTATGATGCTAACCGATATACAGTGTACACAATATCTGGATGTGTCGCCACGGCTGCATACATCAAGGACCCTATGAGGGATGCATAGTTATTGGTACGGTTTCCTGTTTCAGGTGAGCTATCTACTGGTTCAAGTTTGATACTTAGGATCAAGGGGCATCCCAACTGAATTTGCATCCACAAGGCCATACCTTGCAAGAATCAGCTTCAATATATTTTGTTTGGGAAATGTGTAACTCTCCTTTTTCTCAATCACAATCAATTTTGATGCTGACAATTTTGCTTGGATCACCAAGGTCAGTGACTTCAAACATTGTTTGTAACTCACGTTTCAGTTTTTCCATTAGCGCTGTACTATTCATAAACAGGAGTAGGTCATCAATCCACACAGTAATTATTTCTGTTCTGTCTCCTGTTTTTCTGATGTATGCACATGGGTCGCTATACAGCCTATTAAATCCATTGGCCTTGAGCTGCTTATTCAGCTCGATATTCCATTCACGACCCGATTGTTTTAGGCTGTACAATGTTTTTATTAGATGGCACACTCTTGCTGTCCCATCTTTGAATCCTTCTGGTTGTCTCATGTAAACTTCTTCTTTTAGGGTACCGTTTAGGCTGTTTCATGTACACTTCTTCCTTCAGGATTCCATTGAGGTAAGCACCCTTTATGTCCATTTGTTGAATCTCCTAGTTCTGAGATACAGCTAGTGCTAAAACTGCTCGTATTGTCTTGAGTCGGACCACTGGAGAAAATGTGTCCATGTAATCCATACCAGGAATTTGAGAGTATCCTTTTGCTACGAATTGTGCCTTATATTTGACTAATCTTCCTTCTTTGTCAAATTTTCATACTAGAACCCACTTGTTGGCTACTGGAACTCATCCCTTTGGGGGATCAATAAGTTTCCACGTGCCTTTGTCTTTTAATTGGTCTAGTTCAGCATGAATGGCTTTTTCCCATTCTGGCCACTCGGAAGATTCCTTTGCTTCTTTTAAGGACTTGGGATCTTCTGGTGTGACACCAGTCTCATTAAATGCAGCATACACCACTTCTGCTGGTGAATATATCAGCTCTTCCTTGTCTTGTTCTTGTTCTGCGAGGGCTGCTAATTCAGCTGGTATATCTTCTAGCTCTATTGTCAGATCATTTAATATCCAATAATCATGTTTGACTTTTTGTCTGCTGCTTCTTCTTGGCTCATCAGGTACGTTGTTTTCTCTCTTTCTTTTTCTGCTAATTTCTTTCTTTGACATTAGATTGTCTATGTCTTTCATTGTGGATGCTGCATTAATGTGCAGTGGGTCTTTTACTCTATCCTTCTCCCCCTCATGCTGTACATTAGGCATGAAGAAATGATAGTTTCGTGATACTTTTATTTGGTGTGTGTTTCTGTCATAGTACTTTATTGCCTTCAGCCCATCTAAAAAGCCCACAAACATGTGTTCTTCTGATTTCAGTTCAAGTTTGGAAATGTTTTCTCCCTCTCAAAGGACCCATACTGATATTCTGAATTCTTGTAGATGTTATATGTTTGGACATTTCCCCAACCATTTTTCATCTGGGGTAGTTCCCTGTAGAGCACACATATGTGCTTGATTTCAGAGATATTGTATGTGGAGTGAGTCACTGCCTCAGGCCATAATGTTTTTGGCAAATTTCATGCTAACAACATTGCATGTGTTAGTTCTATGAGTGTTCTATTGAATCATTCAGCTATACCATTTTGTTTGGGGGAATATGGTGCCGTGAATTTGACTATAATTCCTTTCTGGTGGCACCACTTGAGTAGAGTATTATTGACATACTCCTTGCCGTTGTCTGCTCTG